ATTTGTTATATGAGAAATGTTCTTTAACAGGTTTTGACCGAATTATATGGTACGCGTCAACGTTGAGGGTTTATTTCTCCAGCAACAAACCAATAACGCTCCTATGAGCGTTAACAGGCGTCAAGAAGTCTCCCTGGCCAGGCATGGCCGTATTTATACAATTTACGAGGATCAGGAGTTGTGGTGAGCGTAGCGAGAGGGCCAATCACAGCTGCTTAAGCGTAAGGTGTGAAACGCTCTGATCCTGAGCTGGAGGTTGAAGGTCGAGACTAGGTCGGCGATCGTACCCCTACGTCCTCTGCATAGACCTAGTCTCTCGGCGTAGCTGGCTGTACGCTCAGCACTCTCTAACCCTCTCTCACCATGAACGGTTACGAGTTTGATAACGTGGCGCGGATACGTCCGGATACGCCGACCTGCCCCAAGAAATTAAACCTCCTAGTTCTCAAGAAGTTCTTTGAAACTAATGAGATCGTGGGGGTCACCAAGGTGGAACGACTGAAGCTCCATGGTGACATCAAGATCACCTTCGCCGAGAAGGGTATGCCTGTACAGCTCGCGGAGATCCCAGACATCAACGGCATTCCATATAAAATGATTGCCTACAAGTGGGACAACCTGAAGCTGGGAGTAATCTCCCACGCCGAAATTGCCCACGTGGACCAAGCAGAGCTGAGTGAGCTCCTCAAGGGGCAACTCCAAGTTGTGAAGAAGCTGTCCGAAACCACTGCCCTCATCGGACACCATACAACCTTACCCAAGGAGGCTCAACTGGCGTGGGTAACTGTGCCAGTCAAGCCCTACTGCAGACCGAAACGCTGTTACAAATGCCAGCACTACGGACACACTGTCAACAAGTGTGAGGCGCAGGAGGACACCTGCTCCCTGTGCGGCAGCCCCGGACACCGCTACATGGTCTGCCCCAACACAGTAAAAAAATGCGCTGCCTGTGGCGGCCCACATTCCTCCGCCGATCGGACCTGCCCGAAATGGAAGGAGGAATGCAGGATAGCCAAGGCCCGACTCGACAAGAAACTGAGCTACAAAGAGGCCCTCCTTGCTGTACGCTCCCAAGACAAGAAAAAACCAGCAGAAAAGAAAAACCAAGTAAAGAAAACTCAAGAAAAGACACCCACCACACAGAATCAAGAACACCACGAGGCCCGTGGAGCTGAAGCCCACATGGTCAACCTCACCGTCTCCAACTTCTTACACACCTATGAGGACATAAGACACGAGGAAGACGAACAACAAGACCCAAACACGAATGAATGGACACTTCAAGAGAGCAAGAAGAGGAGGAGAGTTAGAAGAAAATCTACATCAAGCTAAGAAGAATACCAAGACAGAAGACCAAGACATTTCCTCCACACAAGAAAACAACACACACAATCTAGCCGACCAAGCACTGAGAATCCATGGCCCAACCCAACACGCACCTAACGCTAGCCTGACTCTGTCCTGCCGCCTCCTGGCCGCGTCCGGGCGAGTTGCTGCTGCCTCCAACTTATACTCCCTCACGCAAGCGGTGTTTAGCCACTGCACCTATTCTCTCCTCCTAAAATTCACTTCAATCCTCCCTTTATTCTTCCCCTGAACCTCCTTCCCCCCTGTCACTAGCATTTCATGTTCATGGCTATACGCTGATTGGCTGGTAGGCGCGCGGCCGAGCTCAGTTGGGAGTTGTAGGAGAGAGGATCCACTACATTACAACGACAACTACCCTTACACATACATACGTATATACATACATACTACATACACCGCAATTATACCCCACTGTTTATTATGTAATATGACACTATTTTGTAATGGGCATAATGTTGCTATTAGAAATATTATTTGGTGATATTTACTAGAAAAATTATTAAGCGGAGAAATAATAAATACTCTTAGGCCAGACTCACTCACTCTCTCTCTATAACCCTATATATATCTCTATCTCTTCCCGTTTCCTTAACACCCTCCCTCTATCTCTCACGCCCTAAATACCCTTTCATCATTCTCTCCCTCTATCTTTCATTCTTTCTCTCCCCCAACAGGCAACAGCTGGCGGCACAAGTCACTTTACCATCGGCAGCGTCTATCATACCCCCCTCCCTTTAAAATCCTCCTATTTAGACCTCATTTAACCCCATTTATGAGTCACATCATAGTTGAAACAATGTTATTCTTGTGGTTTTTGATGTTATGAACGAATTTAGGTAAATTTTCATAAGTGCACACAACTCTGTTAGAAAGTAAAATATATGTTTTTCTGGTGTATGTGTGTTTAGATTGGTTATGACTTTCATTTCCGTCGGAAATTGGACGTTTTTTTCTGTTTTTTTTTTTTTTTGGTGGGGTGTTTTCCGACAAATATTATGGCCAAACATATACAAAAAAAACCAAACAATAAAAACATAAACCTGACCTAACCTAACATAACCTAACTGTTTGTCGCCATATGATGGAATCACTTATTTCTTACCTTATTGGCCTGGTTCTGGTTCGTCGTTGGGTTCTGAGATTAGTACAGGTTGGTGATGCTGTTTCTCACTTAACGGGGGGTATAGAGAGAGACCCAAAATAAAAATCGAATTTGATTGGGCCAAAAATTCCATGAATTAAACCACAAATCATTTTAATTGATTGTCCCCCAAAGAACGCTTTTGATTGGCCGCATAAAGTGTACGGGAACGCATGCGTGTGATGATTTATGAAGGAGATACGAAGTGTGGGAGGCGAGGTAGGCGATAATGGCGGATGACTAATGGAAGAAAATAGAGAAAATTTTGGATACATTGTCCGTTATTACACATTTGTGACGGTAATGTAATAGAAGAAAATTATCTTATAATTAGTCGTCTTATTGGAAGATGATAATAGATTAGGGGCAGGAATGTTCTGTGCGCAAATGCAATAATACCCGAATTTAAACCTACATCTGTGGTGCAAATGAAAGTTGGTAAGTAGAGGAGCACCTTTATATAATAACTATATTATTGGAAGTGAAATAGAATTACGGTAAGAGTAGTTGTATACCACAAGACGTCGATCAAGAGTGTAAGTAAAGTTAACAGTAGACGAGACTAAGTACGGTAAACATGTTGATTTTCACTCTTTAATTGGAGATACAGTGGTCCCTCGGTTAACGAATTACCTTCCATAAGAATCTTCAATTCAGTTAATGAAAAAAAAAATTGATTAACGAAATCCTTACGAAAATCACGTTTTGTTTTGAACATCAGCTGATACGCTGAGGAGGTATTCAGCCAATTCAGTAATCTTTTCTATGTTTACATTTGTTTCCATTGGAGTAAGTATCAAGAAAATTTTGCTCTTTAATATTTGTGCATTTTTTTTATACAGTACTGTACGTCGTTTATGAAAAATTCCAAGCTCTACCACCGGCGAGTTGTTACGTCGTCGTATAAAGTAATTAACGGTGGTTAATGGGTACTCACATTAGCGAAGGGAGACTTATCCTGGTCTGTGTGAAGTGTCAGGAACTATATACTGTTCATTGTGGAAATGTTAGATAGCTCTGCGTCCTTTGTGTCATCTTGGCTTGTAATTGGCCATCCTGTCATCCCGGCGGTCAGTTGCTCAGGGTCAACTCTTCACGTTTATTTTTCATCGTTTTACCGTGTATCTTACGGCATATAAGACACACGGCCATATAAGACACACGGCCATATAAGATGCACGGCCATATAAGACGCACGGCCATATAAGACGCACGGCCATATAAGACACACGGCCATATAAGACACACGGTCATATAAGACTCACGGCCATATAAGACACACGGCCATATAAGACACACCACCTATAACAGCAGGGAATATTTAGGGACAAAAACTTGTGTGTATTTTCCTCCTGTAGCCATAATTTTGTTAAAATACTATTAACAGTAAATGTGTGGAATAAATATTATATAAGTTACCTGTATAACAAAAAATAATGTAGTATTGCCATTCGGCTGCTGAACGAATTTTGTTAATGGTGTCGTTTCACTCCACATGGCAGACGGCTCAGAACAGCTGAGATACCTCGCTCCTCTTAACACGCGTAGAAAGTTTATTCCGTTATGTTTCTGGCTTTATGATAATTATTTATCTTGAATGTGTTCTATGTAAGATTGAGTACTTGTAAAATAGTAAAAACAGAAATGATAAATGAATTTAGAAAATTATATGTATCGATGCAAAATTACGAGTTGAAAAATAAACATAAAGCCTCGCAGCTCGGCCCAGTAGCCCGGCGGCTCGCGAGGAGTCTAACTCGGCTACAGTGCCACCGGTGATGTTAACAGATGCAAATGTGAAAAGAAAGTTACCTGTAAATTTTTATTTGTATCGGGCATTTGTAGATGTAAAAATAATAATGTTTTTAAGTAAGCAATAACATAGTATTAATTCTGGAGTTGTGTTGGGTAGAATTTAACCTACCGGAGACAGCAAGTAAGGGGTTCATTAGCCTATGGGAGACCGCAACTTCACATATAGAACGCGGGAAGCTTTTGTAGCCATTTTTCCGAAAAAAGTACATTTCGTATGCCATAAAATACGGTAATTGTGTGTGTAGGCGTTACGTTAAATTGGATAATCGACGATTTAAGCTTTAAAAAGCAACCCAAAAGTTTGTCAGATAGAAATAACTTTATAATTTTAGTGCTACAGGTCGATGGGAATTAATTTTTATATGAAATGTGTTGTGATTCATTTAAGAGTTTGTTTATCATGTTATGTTTGGGAAATTGTAGCTAAAGTAGGTGAGGTTAGGTTAGGTTTTGTAGTGTTATTCTGTAAGTACTTAATTAGTTAAACCCCTTAAATTTAAATTCTGTGAAAAAAGTATATTTTGGGCGAAAAATTACCAAGGGGTAAGGCTTACCTTTTCGACAGTTTTGGCCCAAAAATTAGATTTTGTTAAAAATCACATTATAAGTACTTCAGAACCTGCTGAATTCGAATATATGGTGCACAATTCGATTTCGGGGTAATTTATGGCTGTAATGACCCTTGGAATTTTTAATTACATTTTTCAATGTACATGAGGTAGACAGGGAGGGGCGTGGCAAGAGGTGTGGCGAGGAAAGCATCTCTCAGGTTTCCCTGTCCCGATTCCTGTCAGCGGCGAGGGCGAGTTTGAGGAGAGGGATGACCCGGATGGCGGTGATGTCTGCCAGCACCGACTGCAGGAGAGAGAAGGTGTCTGTAGTTTACTGACATACGAGATACATAGCTTAGATTACTGTAGCTCAAAGAATAACGTACATAATCTACTCCACTTTAGGACGCCTTTGACCCATATACTTACATACAAGCTCCCTAGAATTGTATTTAACTCTAAAAAAAGTAATTAAATTTTGCAATTACACGTTTTATGTTTTTGTCCTCGAAAATACAAGAACTTAGACGGGAATGCTTTAGTTAACCACTGTCAGAAATTAATTAGTACGGTTGATTTTCCTCATGCCTGATTATTCTGAAAACTCTTCTCATCAGAAACTGAGAGCGATGGGTAATGAATAAAAGTGAACACACCGGTACTAATGAGCTCATAAGCACGATTCAGAAACGAGGTCATGTTCGTAAATTTCTTAACGAACACGTTATAATTCACTAACAATATTAATACACTACTGTATAGGCCAATTGTTGACGTATTTTCGTATCCTTTGTGTGTCTGATAAGAACAAGCTTTAATGTATATTTAGATCTGGGCACCGCTGATTAAAGGTGTCTATGCTATACTGTCTTTTCTTGCAACAGGTTTGATATATTTTTTTTTTTTTTTTTTTTAAGGGGATTAACTCACCCAGGCACAGGTCACTGACCCACATCAGGGCCTGGGGGGTGAAAATGTAATAATTATTCATAGTAAATAAAATTTATAATAAAAAGTAAAATAAAATAATATTAATAATAAAGATATTAAAAAATGAAAAAAAATCAATAGTGAGAAACAATATATGTCTTGTGTTGTCAAGTAAGAGAAACAATTGAGGCCCTGCAATTGTGTTTAATTGAGGCAGAAAGATAGATCAGCAACCTTGGATTTGGTCACAATTTTTGTGATGCCATATAGAAGCAGGGTCTACCATTAGACAACACATTATGTTTCCAATATCTTCCCAACCGGTAGTACCCCCCTGTTTGATAGCTACCTACTACCTTACATGCAGTCAGAACAAAATATGTCATTGACACTGTCGACTCTAAATTTACTCTTTTCAACTCTTTTTCTCGCGACCTTCCTCGAGTATTCTACCCAGACAAGAAGACAAGAGCGTAGCTTCCTTGATGATAGTTGACAGGTAGTGACGTTATGACATGCATACGGGTTCATACTGAGAGTAATAAAAGTGGTTCAGTAATAACCTCAGCAGCCTGCTGGGAGGTAACGTCCATAAGGTTCTCCCGGCGGAAGCTGACGATAGCGAGGGCAAGGACGGGTAGTACCTCGACAGACTCCCAGGCCAGCACGACGTCCCATAGGTGGAACAGCTGGTCAGGTATCAGGTACCCGCTGAACCCCCTCACCATCCATTTGAATACTATGGGCAGTCTATGGAAGGGAAAACAACTATTAGTGGTGCCAGGGTATTATTAGCGAGTGTCATTATAGTGATAATATTTTTTTTAAAGAGTGATAATTAACATTACTGTATATGCCACCAAGACACAAACTCATCTTTTATTGCAGTGAAATACATCTTCGTCATAATTATGATGTGCAAGATATTTCTAGCATGAATGCAAGATACTTGTCAGATCCTTTGCCCTTCAGAGGACACATTGTTATGTGCTCCTCCGCTAGACCGTCACACAGTATTAAAAAAAAAGTTACATTCGATTCTACGGTTTATTGTATTACTTAAGACAGTATTGTTCCTGTAAATTTGGAAAACTACTACTTATATACACCTTATGAGCTGTATCAAGGAGTAAATACAGTGAAAAGAGGTTGACCTACTCACAGCTGTATGCTCATGGCGGCACAGTGTTGCCAGAGTCGTGTTTCACAACTCTGTAGCAACAACTCGAACTGCAGAGCCAGAGCTGCCGCGCCCTGTACACAGGAGGAGGTACAGTTAGCCACCTTGTTATTCCCTATTATACCTAGTACACACATCAACAGCTGTACACTTCTATAAATGTGATATAGTTCAGTGGTTGAAGATTTATTTATCGTATATATAAAATCCAAAGAAGGTAGAGGGTCTGTAGACCACTGCTTCCAAAGGCCAAACTAATGCGTTAAAATTTGCATTAAATTTACGTGGACATTGTTAAAACAGCACAACTAATGCTGACCTGCGGGTGGCTGGTGACGATGTGAAGACGGTACCAATAGCGGCAGTACATCTCCCTGAAGGTGAAGTATAGATGTACAGGGTCCTCATACAGGCAACTGAGAGGTGCAGCTGCAGCAGCACACGAGACCAGAGGCATGAAAGAATACAATGAAGAATGTTCCAGTGTAAGACTTTGGTTTCATTAACTTATTGTGAGTGAAGAAAGATTTTTTTATACGGAAAGTATCTTACATTATCATGCAAGTAATCGTGGTATTTAATAAGCAACCTGTCCAGATCACATTATAGCAATGATGATTTAATTTTCCTTATTCATGGACTGTTATGGTTCAAGAATTTATTATAACTGTGAGCATGGTGGACTGACCGAACATGGTGAAGCCGTGGAAGGGGATAACACCGCAGGGTGGGTAGGCCACCAAGGAGTCTGGAGAGGGAGTGTTGCCCCGAGCTGCTGCCAGGGGAGGTGAGGCACTGCTGTGTTCAAAGTGGCTTAGTACCTCCGTGTCTCGGAAGAAACATAGTAACACCTGAAATGTATGCAAAGTACCAAGTGCATAATATAGTACAGTATAGTCTGCATTTATGCGGTCAATTGAACCCGTGGAGGTCCGCGTAAAACGAGAAACTCATAAACGAAATAACAGAACATAAGGGATTAATTGAAATAGAGACTGGGCCGACCCCCAAACTCCACTTTTTCCGACACAATACGTACGTTGTAGTAAAAATAACACACACACACAACTCCTGATTTATGTACTGTACAGCCCTGTAAATGTATTCAATGCATATTATATTATTATGTCTAAATCAAATGTAAGTCTGTATATTTTCAGCTACCGGCTGCAACTCTATTCATAAACCGTTTATTATTATTATTATTACACACACACACACACACACAGGTTACACCAATTCCTTCAATGTACATAAATGGATATTGTATTACTATGTATGATAAAGATGTTCGTATTCAGAGCTATAAATTTTATAACAACCATTCATTGGGGGTTTTCTTGAGCTAAACTTGGTTGACGAACTATTTATGGTGATTTTAATGAAAAACATCAATCACTCAAGCAATTTATTGCTGGGACGAAGGAAAGACACTGAGTAGCTAAGTGTTAGGAATGCTAGGATTAACACATCCGAAGGTGACTGTTTTACCTGGAACAATATGTCTTCAAACACGAAGTACTGGTCATCATTGGAGGCTGTCAGCTGTAAGTCCTGTGTGAAATATTTTGATATTACTACACAAACAATTTCTGATGTTCATAATTTGTTCTGTTACATCTCAAAATCAATTTACACCAGATGATTTAGATATATTATACTGTATATTATTCTAGATGTATGAACTCTCTTTTGCTTTATACATTTTTTTTTTCTTTTTTTTAACGGGGATTAGCCCACCCTAGCACAGGTCACTGATCCATATCGGGGCCTGGGGGGCGAAAATGTAATAAATAAATAAATAAATAAATAAATAAATAAATAAATAAATAAATAAATAAATAAATAAATAAATAAATAATAATAATAATAATAATAATAATAATAATAATAATAATAATAATAATAATAATAATAATAATAATAATATTAATATTAATATTAATAATAATAATAATAATAATAATAATAATAATAATAATAATAATAATAATAATAATAATAATAATAATAATACAGGTTGTACCTCTCTAGTCCGGCAACCTCGGGACCTGACCGGTGCCGGACCATGGAAATCACCCTTTTCCTGGACAGATAGTGACTTGCGCTTACATTAGCACCACTTTCACTGCTTCGTGGTCTCTTCTGAAGACATATTGAAGGGTTAAATGGCGTACAGTAGCTTCTCAAATTTCGCGAGTTTTTAATTCAACGTATTTTATTTAGACACAAAAAAAACACTACATAATTTAAAATTTTGACGGCGGAAACTCAAATTTCGACGGGTTTGAACAGCCCGCCAACGTTCAGACGACGTGCACAATCGTGTAAACAGCATCATTTCTCTTATGTACAAAAGATTCACTGTTGTTTATTACTGAATGTCTTTTTTGAATTAATGTTTATGTGTGCAAAATGAGCAATACAATTCATTAATAATACGTAGAATATTAAAACACACGAGGAAATGAGACAGCATTGTTTTTGTTGATTACAAAACCAGTGACTGAGTGGTTTTACATATAAAACAAGAAAATAAGACCCTGGTTATAACTGTAGTAAAATTAATGTAAAAAATTAATATGGTTGTTTTAAGTAATGTTATCTAATGTTAATAAATAGAACAATAAAAGTAGCAAACCATTAATGTTAAAGAAAAAAAGTGAGACTGCGCGTATGTAAGTGAGCACATGTGAAAAACATATCATTACTCTACATAAGAATATGAAAGCAGCACTTATTTACTGTTCATATATGTTTTAATTAATGTTTCTGATTTTTTTCATTGAATTAATGTTTGTGTGTGCAAAATGAACAATACAATTTATTAATAATTCGTGGAATATTAAAACACACGAGGAGACGAGATGGCTGCCGGCATTGTTTTCGTTAATGTTTACAAAACCAGTGACTGATTGGTTCTACATATAAAACAAGAAAATAAGACCCTGGTTGTAGCTGTAGTAAAATTAATGTAAAAATTAATATGGTTGTTTGAAGTAATGTTATATAATGTTAATAAATGGAACAATATAAGTAGCTAACCATTAATGTTAAAGAAAAAAGTGAGACTGCGCGTATGTAAGTGAGCACATGTAAAAACATATCGTCATTACTCTACATAGGAATATGAAAGCAACACTTATTTACTGTTCATATATATTGAAGGGTTAAATGTTGTACTCTGTACTGTATAGACAACAGAGAGAGAGAGAGAGAGCCGAACTGCCGGATGTAAACAAACCTTAATTATTGGGTTTTTTTTTTTACGGGGATTAGCCCACCCGGGCACAGGTCACTGACCCACATTGGAGCCTGAGGGGCGAAAATGTAATATTCCTGTAATAAAAATAATAATTCAGATAAAAAGAAAAAAAAAGAAAAAAAGCTGCCTATCTAATTATTGGGCAAGCTAAAATCGTTCCGGACCACAGAATGCCGGACTAGAGAGGTACAACCTGTAATAATAAAAATATTAATACTAATAATAATAATAATAATAATATTAATAGTAGTAGTAATAATAATTCAGTCAATAAAATTATATTAAAAAATACAAAATTGAAAATAAAATAAATTAATAATGATAATATAATAATAATAACAACAATACTAATACTGTAGTAATAATATTAATAATAAAGATAATAAAAAATGAAAAAAAAAATCAATAGTGAGAAACAATATATGTCTGTTGTGATGTCAAGTAAGAGAAACAATTGAGGCAGAAAGTCAGATCAGCAACCTGGGACTAGGTCACAATTTTCATGAGGCGGTAGTACCTCCCTGTTTGATAGCTGCCTACTACCTACATGACTAAATTTTCATTACTCAATACATTTACTTTGACATAGATATGATCACTTGTGAGGGTCAATGTTGGTTATTTTGAAGCCAAAGTTAACATACTGAGATGACTTCCAAACCTTCATGATGAGTTTGTCCACCAGCAGTTCGTGTTGCAGGACCCCCTGCACCAGCTCCTCGAAGTACTTACAGTGCTGGCGAAACACATGGTCGTCTTAGGAATATTGCCTGTCATCTTTTTTTCATAAATTGATGTGGTATTGATTTGTAAAATCTGATAATTATTCCAGTCATAACTAGTGCTTCAATATGATTTGTCGTCTGAGATGAATACGTTGCGATTTCAACAGTAACAACTGTTTTGATCATAGTACATATAAGTATGAATATATATGTATCTCTATATTCATTAAACTTACAATGAAATAAAGAGGAAGATAGAAGGTGGACTGACCTTGTCAGTGATCTCAAGGCCTAGCACCTGGTGCCAGAGAGTCCCTCTCAGGCTGGCGGGGCACCCAGTCTTACACAGCTCCCGGCTCAATGGTCCATGGTTCCTCTCCACCACTAACACACACACAAACACTTACATAATAGTCCAGGTGTGGATGAGAGGGTGAGAATTGAGACAAGTGTTGTACTTATTGTTTGTTATATATTAATAATGAAAATAATTATCTGAGACTAGAGAGTATAAGTAACTAGTTCAACAAATAATTAATATACATTAAATAAATATTCTAATTTTGGTTCATTATAAAACATTCATAAACTATTCTCCTGTAACGGATATTCTGTATTGCCTTCAGCGCAACAGGTTGCCAATCTATCTATTTGTCTGTCTGTATGTGAAGGTTATAGTAAATATCATGTGCGTAAGCACATATATAAGACAGGTTATATGATTATTTCAGCATATATTTTAATATTCATTATCACATAACAGTGATCATGGAGATACTAAGTTACACAGTAATAAACCACATATCTAATTGTCTTCCAAAACACTCTTATTCAAAGATATTAACACCTACTGCTGTGTCCTCTTTGTTTACAAATCTATCAATCACTTGCTTGACAATAATTATTTCCAGTTCCAGAATAATCAGAGATACAACTTAAGGCACCCAGAGCTACTAAGACCACCCACCATGCGCTCCTCTCAGTCCCAGACTTCCATAAAATATCATGGTGTGAAGGTGTGGAACAACTTACCCCCACCCATCCGAGCAAAGACTACGCTCCCTTCCTTTAAATCATCTCTCTTAAAAAATATCTTTTGTTGAAGTATTAATATTTCTTGTAACACTTACTATATTTACAGTACCTGCTTTTATTGTACCATCAAAACCATTTTATCGGAAATTATCATGTAAATAAATAAGTAAATACCATTGCAATAAACATAATTGCAAACTAGACATAATCCTGACAACTCTGTCCTCTTGTTCAACCTTATGACTGTACAACCCATGTTGTACTGCTCCCCAATTATACTTATGTTTTTCAATTCCACTGTAATTTATATGTACATGTGTATGTGTATGTATGTGTATGTGTATACAGTATATGTATACAGTAATACCCTGATTTATGCTGTCAATTGAACCCGCGGAGGTCCGTGTAAAACGAGAAACGCGTAAATGGAATAACAGAATGTGAGAGGTTGGAGTCATAGACCACGTTCTTTGTAGACTTTATTCTAACAGCGTCAGCTGGTGACTGGCAACCGGGCGCTGCCAAAGACAAGCCCCCATCTCAACATGGGAAAACATATCGTACGATGGTACAATCTTACAATTACAATAATATTCTATCCTAATTCACTTGTGATGCATTGTTTTCCTTTTGTTAGTTCAAATGTGCATTGTCATTTCCTTTTAACTTGGTGGGGGAGATGTAAGATTGTACCATCGTACGATATGTTTTCCCATGTTGAGATGGGGGCTTGTCTTTGGCAGCGCCCGGTTGCCAGTCTCCAGCTGACGCTGTTAGAATAAAGTCTACAAAGAACGTGGTCTATGACTCCAACCTCTCACAGTAATACAACAGTTTTTAACTGAAAACCATTCGAAAAGCGATTACGGTAACATCTTTTCAATGAAAGAAAGCGAAAATCATTGTTTTTGTCACAATTTTATCCCACATTCCACTACTGTATAATACGTACGTCATTTCAGCAAAAATATTACATTTCCATATTCTCAGAAATAAATAGTAGTTTTGCTGAAACGTGATGTATTTTAATGTAAATTAGGATAAACTACATGACGAAAACAAAAGACTTTACCAAACCTTCCGATGTTCAAGATATGTTACTTGTTTTTTAATAGTTTTCGGTTAAAATACTGTTATATTAGTGATATTCTATTCATACTGTGGCTGATATAATACATTCACGGAAATGTAATATTTTTTGCTGAAATGACGTACGTATTACAGTGGAAAGTGGGATAAAATTGTGACGAAAACAATGACTTTTGCTTTCTTTCGTTCAAAATATGTTACCGTAATCGCTTTTCGAATGGTTTTCAGTTAAAAAACTATTGTATTACAATAATATTCCCTCCTAATTGACTTGAATAAATACTTGAATGGAAATATACAATATTTTTGTTGAAACTACCCGCGTTTCAGTGTAAAGTGTCGTAATAAATGGTAAACAAGTTTATAGGACGTAGAGTGTTTTTCTGAAGGTTTTGTTGTTCCTTTACCCTCAAAAACTTGGGTCGACCTATAAATGAGGAATATCATAAATTAACTATTTCTTGGTCAAAAAATCGGGGTCGACCTATATACGAAGGGGGGTTATAGACGAGTATATACGGTATATATATATACAGTATATATATATTTTTATTTTTTACAGGAATTAGCCCACCCGGGCACAGGTCAAATGACCCACAATGGAGCCTGGGGGGGGCAAAAAAAAAAAAGGAAAGAAATTGAAAAAAAAGAAAAAAAAATTTTTTTTTTACGGGAATTAGCCCACCCGGGCACAGGTCAAACGACCCACAACGGAGCCTGGGGGGCAAAAAAAAAAGAACGGAAAGAAATTGTAAATATAGAAAAAAAGGTTATACTGTATTAATCTACACCACGAAGATGCCGGAAAACCAGCTTTTTAAAGTGAGACAGATTGTAAGAGCATGGAAACACAGAAGAAGGCAGAGCATTCCACAGTTTGACTGTGTGAGGAAAGAAGGAGGTACTATAACGGGTTATTCTCGTGTGACCGATATCTACAGAGAAACGGTGGGCATCGCGGGAAAGACGTGTGTTACGAACCCACTGCCTTGCCGGCGGTACACAGGATGCCAAATCCACCGAACATTGCCCTTTAAAGTACCTGTAAAAAGAGAGTGAAGCAACATTGCGGCGAAGAGAAAGGGAAGAGAGATTGTCGACTAAAGGAGGAGAGTTAATAAGACGAAATGCCTTTGATTCCACCCTATCTAATAGTTGGACAGAAGAAGAGCCACCCCAGATATGAGAGCAGTACTCCAAGTTAGGACGAATGAATCCCTTATATAATTGAAGTAAGTGCTCAGGAGTGAAGTAGCTGCGGCATCTGTATATGTATGTGTATGTGTATGTATATATAAAAAAAAATAAAAAAAATAATAATAAATAAATAAAATAAAATATTGAAGTGATAACCGTGGCAACATTATGAGATGTTCTTATTACCACCATGCTATTCTACTATTCCAGATGATACTAAATGTTACATAATACTTCCTTGAGATAAATGTATAGTATATATCAGGTGCCTCAAAGGGACCTCAGGTTCTCAACTGGCTCAGCCATGTTAATATTGTTATTATTATCCACTCTGTATCTGTATTTTTCTGGCTAAATAAACTGTTTCAATTCAATTCAATTCTATCTGTTGCAGCAGTTCTACAGTGAAAATTCATCCTAAAAACTACTGCGCATTTTTTTTTCATCATGGCACGCCAGTTTTAATACCTATTGCATCTGAGAAATATATTGACTTGAAGTAAAACTGTAAAGATACAAATATCCATATATTTTATGGAAAACTCCTAGTTATGCTATATTCTAGTCTGATTATAGCAGTGATGAAACACTTTGAGTGTGGACTGTGAGGACATTAGAGTAAACATTATGATTTGTTACCATAAAATGACAAGGTCTCAGTGCACAGTTAATGATATGTAAAGAACTAAATTACATATTCCTATGAAGTGGTGTCGATGAAGCTGACTTTGATACATAAACGTGATATTCTCCACAAAAGTCTTAAATTAAGACTCATTGGTATGCTGAGCTTAAATTAGATCATATGGAACCCCAAATATACTAAGCTAATGATGAGGTGAAAGAGAAAATTGGTCCCTTAGGCATGACGGTTCATTAGGTACAGTATGGCTACAGTACCCTACATAATAAGCCTTCAATATGCAAAAAGGCAACTTGGCTGGCACTACACTCAACCGCCCTTACTTCCCCTGTTGCTGCTGTGTATATTGAGAGTGCCCTGGGATTACTAATTACCGAAAGGACACAAGGTGAACACTATTCACTCAGCCACTGCACCCCGACGATGAGTAATTCACCTTTCTGTCCGATGACAAGTCTCTCCTCAGCCAGGGTGAGGTTAGGCTTGTATTCTCCCGCTACACCCTCGTCCAGGCCCGTGTGTTTACAGCAGCAGGCCAGTTCTCCGTACAACTCCACCTGCACCAACCAACAATATAGTCCACACGTGCATTAGGTCTCTGCAACTCCAGTCTCGTAAGTGTTAAAAATCAAGACTCAAAGCAATATAAACTACATTAAGTCAGTCAGGCAAGGAATAAGACTGTACATTGTTATGGTGTAAATAAATAAAACAGTTCATAATAGGTAGGTAGTAGGCAGCTATCAAACAGGGAGATATTTCCACCTGGGAAGATATTGGAAGCATAAGGTATTGTCTAATGGCAGACCCTGCTGCCATATGGCATCACAAAAATTGTGACCAAGCCCCAGGTTGCTGATCTGACTTTCTGCCTCATTTACACATAATTGCATGGTCTCAATTGTTTCTCTTACTACTGACAACACAACATACATATATTGTTTCTCACTATTGATTTTTTCATTTTTGTATTTCTTTATGGTTCTTTATTATTATTATTATTACAGTCATGCGCCGGTTAACGTCCTAGATACGTTCTTGGAAATGTGACGTTAACCGAAATGGACGTTGTCCGATCATCACAAACTTTGTATTTATACTTACGTGTATGTGGAATACTATATACGTACATATACACTTTTACTCTTAAATCACTACTGCAATGTGATACAGGTGATTTATTTTTATCTCTTGTGCAAAATACATGACGTTTATATTAAAATTATTCACTGTTTTAAAAGGATTCCAGCAATGCCGGGCAGATGGAGAGGGTGGGTGGGGGCGGCGGTGGGGAGAGGTGGGCGGCGTGGGGAGGTAGTACATTTGACAGTTGGCACAGGCCCAGGTCTAACGTGTGTATATTAATCAGTTCTTAAGTGACTAAGCTTCTCTCTTATAAAAAGCCAGTGAAATGACCATTGCTGGGATTCTTGTAACATACTGATTAACTTGAATATACAGTAAACATGCTATAATTTGCACTAGACAAAACAATTTTAGTACTGTAGTCAAATTAGTACATGTGCACTCCAGCTTTGCACTAAGGTCATTTATTTCTATTATGTTTCTTTTAGTATGGTGTGTGCATGTAAATGGATGAAAATAAATGAAGAAATCAATGTAAATCTACCCAGAAATACAGTTGAAAATCTTTTTTATAAAATGTACTACAGTACTGTACACTAATCTACAAATTTTTTTATCTCTTGAGCAAAATATATGATGTTTATATTCAAAATATTGGCTGTCTTGCAAGGATTCCAGCAATGCAAATTATAATCTCCTAACTTTAGTCTGAGATATGATATCAGATAAAAACTGCAAGCCTAAAAGGCTGGGGGTGGGGGGGGGGAGGGACTGACAGAGCCAGCCAGTCAGTGCGGGGTTGGGGGGTTGGTGGGGGGTTGAGCTGATAAGTTTGAGCCAAAGGTCTCTGTGTGTTTATTTAACAGTCCTATTAAGCTTTTCTCATTTTAAAATGCCAGTAATATGACCTAGGAGAATATAATTAACATAGCTGGGATTCTTGTAAGATACTGATTTATTTGAATATAAACATGTTGTACAAGTAATTCGCACTAGACAAAACAATTTTAGTACCGTAATCAAATTACACAAGTACACACACCTCTTTAAATATCATCTCTTGGAACTGCTTATCAGTTGTCATTTTCATCAATTTAAAAAAAAATATCTGTATAAGAAGGTGAAATCTTTAATACAGCACTCATTTTATACACCTGGTCATCTCCGCGTCAAGCGGGCTGTAGTGTTTACATCCTTTCTCTTGTTTTTATCGGTATGACAACGACGGGCAATATTTTTCAACAGTAGAAGGTAGGCAAATGTAAACATGTATATCAACGTCTAAATAAAACAAAAAAATTTTTATTTAAAAACAAAAAATTCAAAGTAAAAAAAAAAACTGTAAAATCAGTTGAATTTAAATTTTTGGTAAGCAAACAATATATATCACAAAAAACAGTAAATCTCTAAATATCATGTCCAGTAAAACAGTCAAAAGCATTTTATTCATCTTCGAATCCTGAGAAGTCGTCACTGTTGGATTCATCACCAAGTTCTGAATCATCTCGTACAACAAGTTGTCTTTGGTGCCATCCATAGCATTACTGATACCACATTTTTTGAAAAACTTAACGATAACTTTAGTTTTAATATCACACCATGACTTCAGCACCCATTCACACACACTTCAGATATTGATGGTCGTTTCATCCTTCCAGTCGGCGTCAGATCATGATTCCCCTCTGTCATCCATTTATTCCATTGCTCCCTCATGTTATTCTTAGAGGGCTTATTAATGCTGACATCTAGTGGCTATAACTGGGAAGTCAGGCCACCAGGAATTATTGCCAGCTGTGTGTTGAGCCACTTTGCTAGCCTTTTGGTGTTTTCAGTCCTGTGAGCACTAAACTGATCCCATACTTGCAGTGAATTCTTTCATAGTATGCCACCAGGACACTTGGACCACACTTTATCCAACCATACCTTGACACCTTCTCTATCCATCCATCCCTTTGGTTGTACAATGACATGAATTCCATTTGGCAGTTTTTCCTTCGGTATTGTTCTTCTCTTGAAAATTAACAGAGGCGGTAGTTTGGTCCCGTCGGCACAGCAAGCTAAAACTACCGTGTAGTGAGTCTTTTCGTGTCCAGTGGTTTTAACAATCACCGATTTCATCCCTTTTACATTTACACTTTTATTAGATGGCACATCAAAAGTCAAAGGTACTTCATCCATAGACATTCAAGTATCAGTAGGTTCTCAAATTTTGTGAGTTTTTAATTCAACATTTTTATTTGGACAAAAAAAAAAAAAAACCACCACTACACAATTTCAAATTTCTACGGCGGAAACTCGAATTTCGACGGGTTTGAGTGTGCAAAATGAACAATACAAATAATTAATAATACATATTACCGTATATTAATACATACGAGGAGACGAGAAGGAATTGTTTTCGTTAATGTTTACAAAATTAGTGACTGATTGTTTTAGGTACGTAATGTTATTTAAAGTTAATAAATGGAACAATAGAAGTAGCTAACCATTAATGATAGAGAAAAAAGTGATATCGCGTATGTAAGTGAGCACATGTAAAAACATATCGTCATTACTCTACATAAGAATATGAAAGCAACACTTATTTACTGTTCATATAATTATTAATTAATGTTTCTGAATTTAAAACAAAAATTCTACCCACCAGTGGTGTTAAAGTTGAAAACATAAGGACAGTCAATGTTGTTGTGTGTGTTTTTACTCGGATGATAAAGTTGCCAAGTCATCAGGTTCAACTCTAGCAGAAGCTGTAGAACATAAAACCTTTTTCTGTGTTGTTTTTAGTTTTTATTTAACTTTATCTGTGTTATTTTCGTTGGTTTATTTGGATGTTTCTTTATTACAGGTAGTAAATTGCCCAAAAAGTAGCGTAAATAAGACAAAATTTAGCCAAACATTGAAAGTACCAGACTCAAATTAATTTTCTCCAAAGGATGTTGTATTTAAAATTGGACGATTTGAATTTTGTGAGGTTTTTACAGTCTAAATAGGTGTTCAAATATGAGAGCCTACGTATGAAGAAACAAACATTCCTGCTTTTTGAGACCAGCAGACCTTTAGCAATTCCTCAATAGATGGCGCTGCCACATCACTGCCATTAGTAAACAAACCGCACAGCGGCAAGGGTTGTGTAGCTGCGGCCGCTTATTTTTCCTACTGAGTAAGTAAATAATTGTATTTTTCACAGTATATCAACAATATTAGTTAAATCAATAGTTTTATAGTACTGTACAGTACAGGTATAGAGAATACTTGTAATTGCTAAGTACTGTAATGAGGTAACAGTCTTTGTAAGGGGCTGATTTCAGTTGACCCTAAGAAGACCTCTGCTACAACCCATCAACTAGTGTCATGGAAGACGCATGGTAATTTTCAAGGTATATTTTTGCAATAAAAAAAGCGCCTTCCAAGCTGAAAAATACGGTAGAATATATGCACTCCAGCTTTGCACTAAGGTCATTTATTTCTTTTACGTTTCTTTTAGTATGGTGTGTGCATGTAAATGGATGAAAATAAATGAAGAAATTTATGTAAATCTACCCTAAAATACAGTTGAAAAACTTTTTATAAAATGTACTACAGTATTGTACACTAATGTACTACATTTTTTATATCTTGGGCAAAATATATGGCGCTTATATTCAAATTAATGTCTGTCTTGCAAGGATTTCAGCAATGCAAATTATATTATCCTAACTTTAGTCTGAGATATTATATAAAATAAACATAAAGAAATCACCACTCTTTTGTCTGGGAACACAAGGAGGATGGGAAGAGGGGGGGAGGGGGCGGGAGGTGAGGTGACAGAATGTCTGGCGTTTGTTTGTTTGTTTATTTATTTGAGATAAGATTTGACAGTTGGCGCTGAAGGCCTGCCTAAGTGTTTATTTATCATTACTTAAGAGTGACTAAGCTCTTCTCATAATTTGCCACCCAAACGACCTGGGTGAATATAACTTACATTGGAGGGATTCTTGTAAGATAGTAATTTATTTGAATACCTGTATAAACAAGCTATATTTGCAATATACATAACAATTTTAGTACCGTAATCATTTAGTACATGTACAATACAGGTTTGCACTTAGGTCCATTGTTACTGTACAATATTGACTAAATTCACTAGATAACGTACGCGATGCTTACGTGACTGTGCCCGCTCTAAGGCCATTTAGGTTCGCTAGGTCCCATTATTTGAATGTTTTTTTCAATTGAAATTTTAATTGTTTATTCCTTGATAGAGGAAGCGGGATCCTAGTGCTGTCACTTGGTATCCCTGTACCATAACACCAGAAGCAACTGGCCAGTGTCACAAGTATATACAGTACAGTACAGTACAGTACAGTCATCCCTTGGTTATCCCGCCTAATTGGGACCCCGCCGATAACGAAAGTACAGAACCTATGGGATTTATTCTAATTGGTTCCAGGCACCCAAGACCCAACCCCAAGTTTCCCATTTTACGGCCATTTATACCCACTAAATATATATATATATATATATATAATGTTATTGTAAATATCATAAACACACATAGGCATGGCCAGGTTTATTACAAAGTGATGAAAAGGGTACGCTTAATACTGTAGTCCACAAAACATGTAGCTATGCTTTTTTTATTTGGTCCCCCATCATACGAGTCCGTTTTCTCTCACATCAGGACGCCTGAGTCCTCCGTTTTCTCTCTTAATCTTAGAGTGCACCAGAGACTTCACTATACTTAGTAATGCCACAGAATTTGAAATTGCAACCCCAATTGCAACTGGGGTTGCAATTGTTGAGGCAACTAGATATGTCTGATTTCAGCAAATGTGTTACTGTCAATTTGTAGGTGAAAGATTTTATCCTCAATAGATGTAGGTTAACATTACACCTGGAGGGAAATGTTTAAAAAAAGCCTAAGGAAGGAAGCATATTCCTTTAACACATAATATCTGACCAGTATGGGGAGGATCATCGTGTCTCCGTCAGGGGGTCGTGGAGTGGTGGTCCAGCAGGCGTCATGGATTTTTTTTTTTGGGGGCCACGGACGTATATGCGATCGGACATTGTTCGGTCGGACGTTAACCGGCGCATGACTGTATTATTATTATTATTATTATTATTAGTGTTGTCATTATTATTATTATTATTATAATTGATAATTATCAATATTATTTTATTATTTTATTTTTAATTTTGTATTTTTATTATAAATTTTATGTACTATGAATTATTATTTAATTTTAAATTTTGTATTTTTATTAAAAAAATTATTTATTATAAATTGTATTTACCATGAAGTATTATTATTATTATTATTATTATTATTATTATTATTATTATTATTATTATTATTATTATTATTATCCCCCCAGGCCCCGATGTGGGTCAGTGACCTGTGCCCAGGTGGGCTATTCCCCATAAAAAAAAAGTTTTGTTGCTCACAGTCTCCATACACACACACACCTTTAATCAGTCTATTGGAATAAAAAAAATTAGTTATACCATCTTTGATCCTGTACAAAAAGTTCACCGATTTACCAAATCATTCCAGGTCACCCGTGACTCACCAAGCACCGTTAACTTGCCAGACCCCATAACTCACCAAGCCCTTGATGTCGTTCACCTTGAGTGGAAGCTGAATACTCCCCCACAGGTTCTCTTCTCTGTTGTGGGAGAAACGCTTGTTACTGAGGTAGTGATCACACTCTGCCATAACTATAACTGTCACGTATATTGTCATACTAATACTACCACAACTAATAATACTTGTAGTAACAATGCAGTCAACCCTCGCTTTACACGGTCCCACATTCCGCGTTTCCACGTTTACGCGGTACCCTGCCGAAACAGGAATGCTCACATTCCGCAGTGCGTGTACCCCTTTACGCGGAGAGCGGCTGGCGAGCCGAGCCATTTTTGGATTCAAACCTCCTGCCATCTCTCCCGCCATCCGCCATGTTGAGTAAGCTGCGCGAGCATGGTGCGCACAAGGTCGCCCAGTCATCAAAACATTACCGAGTTCTTCACCGCCACCCACCACAGCCGGCCCAAGTCAGTGATAGTGATAATTATAGTGAAGATATGGACTTATATGGACTTTGAGGGGTTTGACAAAGAGGCCCTGCAAGCCTCTATGGTGGATAGTGATACAATTGATACAAGTGATACAGGTGGGGGCCAATAATCTGCCCTCTGCCTCGGAACCAACCGCCCATTCCCGTGTGCCCAGCCATCTTTTCTACTAATGTAAGTGTTAGAAAACCTAATATTATTGATATTTCTCTTAATTATTAATTGTTTGTGCATACCATCATAAAGTTAAGATAATATTTTTACTACAACATAGTTGTGTGTCGTCAAAAAGTGGAGTTTGGGGGTCGGCCCGGACTCTATTTCAATTAATCCCATATGTTATGTTATTCACTTTACGCGTTCCTCACTTTCCGCGGCACCCTGTGGGTTACATTAACCGCGTAAAGTGAGGGTTGACTGTACAATATTAATACTGCTACTACTATAACCAGATTTATTTCTCATTGATATTTCATATTATCATAGTTATAAGTGAAGGGGCGAGTTGATGGTTCTGGGTAAACACAAGCAATACACTCTGACACGTTCATAGAGTGATAAGGTATTATATAATTTGTTTAAAGTCCTGCTATAATAAGGCGTTTACTGTGAGGCGTTTCCAATTTACACAATAGCTAACGCGTTAGCGTCTAAAACCCCTCCACCCACAGCTTCCTCTGGGCCAAGAGCCTTGTAGATTGAGACGACCTCCACACTAGTTTGGGAGATGGATGAAGGCCAGTAAACTCGGGTAAATTCGTGAACACGAGCGTCAGGAACTAACCACCTCCTCTGGGGCCCAGTCAACTGGCCAGCCGTTCACCTGACGCGTTCACTGTCCAGCTTGTTGATATCACAGGCCGAGCAAATACTGCCAGCCCCCATCATTGTTATGAATCCACTACTCAGTAGGGCTATATGGTGGCTGTGTTATTCCTCCGAGTACACCTGTATATATTCACCTGAATTGTCCGAGTGTTTGGAGTCAGCAAGAGTAGGTTAACCATCACTTTGCTTGTGGGCAAAGGTACCACAGTGGTGAAGAGAAGCTACTACTTCTGGTGATGTTAAAGTATTAGTGTTGGTGCTGTAACTGGCATCATTGCCATTTGTAAAAATGTTGCTCAAAGGTGCTATGCAAGAATATTATGTGTGTTCTTGTACAGTCAGCCAAAGATGCACCGACCCCACCCTGGATCTCATGCTCGCAATTTTACCTGGCAATACTTGGTAAAGGAAGGCTGTGTGTAAAGGTGATTGTGATTGGTGGATTTGTTTTAGGCTGTATCATTGCCAGGATAATTATTAAACAAACCAAAGGTAGAATTTTTTATAATAATAAACTATTCATTGTTATTTAAGGTTATGAGAGGTTCCAAATGTTTGTATATTTGTTTAAATAATGAGGAAAATTTGATGTGAGGATCTTGTGGCAGCTTTTGTTGTAGCTGAGTTGCCAATTCATTAATATAATTTTCTTCATTATTTAAACAAATATACGAAAATTTTGAAACTTCTCATGAATTTAGTATAAAAATTTTACCTTTGGTTTCTCTAATAATTATCCTGACAACGATACAGCCAAAAACAGATCCACCAATCACAATCACCTTTACATACAGTCTTCCTTCACCAAGTACAGTGGGGTATGCTACAACGAACGGATCCTACTACGAATATTCCTATAACGAACGGTTTTTACCTATAAAATTGAGAATGCTATAACGAACGAAACTCCTACAACGAACATTATTTAATTTTTTTTTTTTTTACTAATTTATTGTTTTTTTTATTATAAGTATTAATGATATTCTTTATTTCAGGGGTTTAGATGCATATTTATGCACTTTTTTACAATTCGTACAATTTTATATTATATTTTTCAGTGTTAAGTGGTTGTATTTGGGGACCTGGAACGGATTAATCCTATAACGAACGAATGCTATAACGAACAAGGTTCTAGAACCAATTAAATTCGTTATAGCATACCCCACTGTATTGCCAGGTTAAATTGCAAGCATGAGACCCAGGGTGGGGTCGGTGCATCTTTGGCTGACTGTACAGTCACCCAAAAAAGTCCTGTCGCGAACCACAAACCCTGAGATTCAGACTCGTGAACCTGAAGCAGTCGACACTGATACATTATTCTGTCCATAAATGCTTTAGATTCAAGAGTCTGAATCTCGGGGTTCATGGTTCATGACAGGACTTTTTTGGGTGACTATACATGTAAACCCAGTCATGGTGTAAGTGGAAAATGTACCTAAGTTTAACAGTACAAAATAAGTAAAGCCAGGGAGTTGACCCCTGCAGTTGAGTGTTACTGAAATTATTCATAAAATATAACTTCATTTTAATAAACCATTTTATTTGTATGTTAGGAGTATCATTTACCTGCAGTATTTTACCGTCAGTCTTTCCCATTGCTCGATAACAGAATTACAATGTACCCATGTGTCATAACCCTCGAACCCAGGTATCAAAGGTCAGAGGTTATGGAGTAACAATATGAAATGAAATAACTAGACAAAACTAATGGAGAAAACAAATGAATTAAAAAATTAAGAGGAAACCAGGTTGAAGAGTTTACAAGTTAACTACCAGGGTATAAATAAAAAATAAAATAAAAGGAGAAATGCAGCTCCTATATCATTACTCATAAGATACTTTTAATACTTAAAACGAACCTGAAATTCGTCGTATTGCGTGTTTATGTAAGCAAACAGATCTAAACAATGAATAGCAGCAAGACGAGCGTACGTAGTGTGGTTTAAAGCTCCCACCCCAGTACCCAGACCACCCACCTTTACAACGGGCCCGATTTTTTGTGTTATTCTTAGTTATTGTTGACTGAGTGACTTTTTTCCTTTTTTGTCTTTCTCTCCATAATTTTCTATATATTTTCATCACTATCTCTTTCCATATTGTGTCCAAATAACAGTTCTCCTAATTTTATTGTTTTCTGAAGACTGTGTTGTACAACAGTTATTCCCAAGATGACGTACATGTCGTACAGTGATCCCTCGGTTAACGAGCGCCTCGGTTAACGAGATTTCGGTTAACGATTTACCTTCCATAAGATTCTTAACTTCGGTTAACGAGCAATCCCTCGATTAATGAGTTTTTTACGAGCCGACTTCAACATGTTTTCGCTTGCATTTGGCGGTCCACCAGCTGTAGTATTAGTCCGCCACTACAGTGATTGGTTTTAGGGCTTAAATTCCTTACTATTTTAGTAAATATCAAGAAGTTTATACTATTCAATAATTTTAAAAGTTTAATATTAACTTTTTTAGTCATTTTAACAATTATTGAACATAATTGAAGGTAAAGAAACTAGTTTCTGGCGTGCCATCCAGCCTGTTAACACACCAGACAGGCGTTAGTCTCTCTCTGTTTTCAGTGGAGGTAACATCTTGCTTGAGACTCTCTTCAACTAAATGCTTTTTTTCTGTGTTTCCAAGCAAATTATTGGTCATTTTGAAATTTATTTTACATATTGACAATATATAATGCAGTGCAGTGTTGATTTAAAGAAAATAATCTTGAATTACACCAAGAGAACTAAAATTTTATGGGTGAAATGGTGCCATGGGGTGACTTCTCTTCCACCCCAATGCCTTCTCTTCTCCCTTCTCCTCCACCCCCATTCTAATTCCCATCATCATCATCCAGGAGCCTTCTACATACACACCTCAAAGTAAGTGAACTTTTCTACCTTTTTTGTTGAATTTAGGCAATCTTCGGTGAGCTGGAACCAATTACCCAAAAATCCATTGAAACAATGGTTTCGGTTAATGAGTTTTCGGTTAACGAGCAACCTGCTGGAACGAATTGTGCTCGTTAACCGAGGGACCACTGTATTTATTAGATATTTTAATTGCCTGTATGTTGGCCTGGCAAAGTGGCTAGGAATTAACATACCTAGGTAGCATTTGCTGACGTCGCATTCGAGCTATATCACAAAAACTGGTTTTGAGAAAAAACGGCTTTTTTATTGACAGTCTGGGAAAGCTAAAGCATTAGCTATTCCGTGCTTCTTAAAATGCATTTCAATAAACACCTATAGTCGAGGTAAGTTTATTTTTCTAGACACAGGGCCGCCATTTGCAATGACGTCACTAGTTTCAAACTCATCACTGCAATCGGAGGTAGTAGAAAGGATGGCCTCTTCAGACCCCAAATGCCACATTCAGGTAAGTTTTAAGGGTGTGTTTTATGGTCTAAGTCATGGACATATCGTAAGTATGTGAAGAAATATGCCGTGAAGAGCTGCTACGAACATAGGTTGGATGGATATATGAACGATAGGAGTTGGGTGTAAATGAGACTGCCCAGAATGGGCCAATAGGCCCTCTGCAGTTTCCTCCATTCTTATGTTCTTTTGGACATAAAAAAACTCCCATGTTCACACCAACTCAGCTGTCATGTACTCTTAACTGGTAGACTTTCTCTTCTTTTTGTTCAGTGCATTTACAGAGTATATCAGTACTAGATGGAGATAGCAGTAAATTTAGAAGTAATGACATTGTCTGGACTTTGTTTTGAGAATGCCTGATGCTAGCTAAACATGACAACACAGTGCTGTTAT